TTTTTTTTTGAGACAGGGTTTCCCTGTAGCCCCAGCTGGCCTGGAACTCGTTACATAGACCATACTGGCCTTGAACTCATAGAGATCTGCCTGTCTCTGCCTCCCAAGTGCTGAGATTAAAGGCATGCACCACACACCTGGCTATAGATTTTTTTATAAATGTGGGTTCTGGGGATCAAACCCAGATCCCCATGCTTGTACAGCAAGCACTTTATGGACTGAGCTATGTCCCCAGCTACCCAGACTCTGTTTTAAGCCCAAGCCCTTTACTCCACACTATAAGGGACAGATAAAGTCACGTATGCCTCCATCTAAGCTAGAAACAGTTCACTCCAGCCCAGGACAAATTTCCTTCTAGGACAGACAGAATATGGAGAACAGATAGGACCAGACTATAAAGCATCATCTCCCACAAATATCTCTTTATACAGCACTATTCCCTTCCTGCTCTCATTTGCCAAAGTTGAGGCCAGCAAACAAGCCCTTAGCTAGGAGAGCCCAAGACCCCATATGACTGATGAGCCACTGGACAAGTCTCACCATGGTAAAGGAACTGTTGACTCCTCCAAGCCTCTCACGCAACAAAGACTAGCTCCAACCTACAGAGCTCCAAGAATCCCCACCTCTGAGGCCACTTCTTCTTGGGCTTTGTGACTTCACTTGGTTGCAGTTGCAGAGTTCTGACTGGAATCCTCAGAGGCAGGGGACAGAAGTGGGGACAGCAGTGCTGAGCACAGAGGGGAAGATGGAGGGGGACGGCTTCCCCCTTAGGGTCTTTTTACTCTGTTGTGTGACTGTTTCACATTTGATGTAATTCTATTTTTAGCTTGTTTTTTTCCTTTTACAAAGATGGTGCATACATATGTGTGCATGTGTGTGAGAATTTTCTTTGGTATAGACCTAAAAGCAGAGTTTAGAATAGGTGGCTATTCAACTTTACAGGATAATAGAAAATTATTTTCCAAAGTTGCTATAATTATACTTTCATTGGCAAGATATAAAAGATATCCTCTCAAACGTATCAGGGAGAGTCTGAACCAGGAAGATTACTTTCACATTGAGTCTAGCCTGAGCTACATAGATCCAGGTTGGCCTGGGATATGTAGCAAAACCTTGTCTCAAAAAAAAATTGTCAAAGAAATTAGTTTACACTTCACCTAGTGCCAAGACCAAGATCCTGCTGTTTCCTTCTTCACAAATTCTTTTCCCTCTTCTGATTTCAGTTACCAGTTCAAGGCCCAACTCTCCCATGGATGAGGCTTGGTAGCCCAGGCATGGTGGCTCACACCTGTAACCCCAGCACTAAGGGGCTGAGGCGGAAAGATTGGTTATTCAAAGGGCAGTCTGGATTACACAGGCCCTGTTTCAAAAAAAATTTTTTAAGGAAAAGCATCCAGAATTTTAAGGCAAAAATATATGTCAGAGTTCCTAGTCAGATATATCGTAAAAAGTCTGTAATAGCTTTTTTGAAAAAAGTAATTATCCAAGTTCTGTGAAGTGATCAAGGGAATGTTGATCAATGGGCTTCAAGGTGATCAATGGGCTTCAGGAAAATAGAAAATGGTGGAAGGGGCGCATTTCAAGGCATTTTGAATTCAAAGTATCAGTTCATCTTTAAATCAGAAACACCCTGTGCTACCTGGAACTTCAGAGGTGAATTCATTCATCTCTTCCATTCAACTAGTACCAACTATAAGCCAGACACTGGCCAGCACGGAACCCTGAGCCATCACTGCGTGCTATCTCTCTCTCTCTCTCTCTCTCTCTCTCTCTCTCTCTCTCTCTCCTCTCTCTCCCCTCTCTCCTCTTTCCTCTCTCCTCTCTCCTCTCTCTCCTCTTTCTGAAGACAGGGTTTCATAATGGCCTTGATTTCATTATGTACCTCCCCCCCCTTCCACCTCCCCAGCCCTGAGAACACAAATAAAGAGCTGGCATGGAGGCCTTGGGGGGTCCCCACCCCTTCTGGACCTGAAACAGTGGACAGAAAGTGTGACTTGTATCACAACTGTGTGGCTTCATTTCAATCACAGACAGTAAGGAAAGAAGAAAAACTTGTAGAAAGGACGGAAGGAGAGCAAGGGACGGGGACGGTTGACATGGGACCAAAGGGTTTTCCTCTTCATGGGTTCGGGCAGTCCAGAATCCTCGGAGAGCAGGTCCATGAGCAACATGTCACCATGGGTTTCACATCAGTCCTTACAGAACATTTCTCAGGCTGAGAATTGTAGAAGACACCTGAGGCACTAAAAACGAGTGGGGATGATGTAGCCAAGAGAGATCAAGCACATGTGCCCTACCTCCAGGCGGCCAGGTGGGCAGAGGGCCCGCTGGTATCCAGGGTGGAGACAGTGGCCAGAGGACTATGAATTCAATGCATCTCTAGGCCTTGCCAACTAAACATTTCCTGCAGCTGCTGCCACAGGCTCCAAGTCACCAGAGATGATGGTAGAGAGGCTCCTACCAACAGCTCTATGCTAGAAGCTTCTCACACCTGCACAACAACAAATGTGAGTTAGAGCCTCTGGCCAGAGTATAGAGCTGGTCCCTAACCAGTCAGAACCAAGAATACCCAAGAACCTAGTCCTGCTCCTCTTTTCTCCGGGGATGAAGACGTTGTGAGATTTCCTGCAGTCTGTCTCGGCCTCACCGTCATCACAGGGAGTCTAACCTCTGGTTTTAGCTCAGTCCCATCCTCATCTATTCCTTGGTGACTGAACTCAGGATGACTTCTGTAAGGGAAAGCTGATAAAATTACCTGTTCTAGTCCTTCCTGCTTCCACATCTAAGGGACAGATGTCTGGGCCACTCAATTTCCTGTGGTACATGCAGCCAGGCTGCAAGTAGCAATATCATCATATTGAAGCAGTTCACGCACTGCACGCTCATTCAGCTCCCAAACATTGCCCATCTTGACGATGACTAAGGTGTCTGAGATGTAGGCACAGAGGATGAAGATCTCCTGTGATAACAACAGGTGTTCAAGTCACATATACCATCCAGAGCCAGCTAGAACAAGGACTTACATTTCCCCTCTGCTACACAGCAAGAGAGACAGAAAGCAACAGAGACAAAAACAGAAAGATGAGAAACAGAGAAATAGAAAAATAGGGACAGAGACAGACAGACAGAAATGGAAAGATAAACACTGAAGAGAAACAGAGAGACAGAGAGAAACAGAGACACAGAAACAGAAGCAGAGAGACAAAAACACAGCGAGAAAGAGACATAGGAAGAGAGAGCCCAAAGCCCCTCGGGCCACCAGACTATTCTATGTCCTCTGCAGGCTGGTGTGAGACAGAGACAGGAGTGAGTGACCTTGTTCAGTGCTTACCTCCTCATACAAGGCCCTCAGGAAGCTGATCTCCCGCATCAGGCTGTGGATACTGGCCCCTAGGTCTCCTTTGCACATATAGGCACAGTTGTTAGCCTGTTGGAAACAGACACACTGTGAGTCCTCCTGTTGCAGAGTTTTTCCTGGGGATTCCCTTGCCCCCCAGTTCCAACCTGGCCTTGCAAAGCAAGTCATAGGTACAGATCCAAAAGGTGAAAGTCAGACAATCAAGCTTTTCCTCCAGTACCAGAAAAAAAAAAAAAAAAAAAGAATGTAGTATGTGACGTTGGAGAGTTCTTCCATTTCTCTGAGACTCAGTGAAAGAAGATCCAGAGAATTCCTACCCTGTGGATTTACTAAAGCAGATCTACTAAAATGTCCACTCATGGATGAACTTGCCAAGTGTACCCACTCAACTTGCTTGATTCTGACCAGCTTATTCTCAGCTGTGGTTCTCAGGGTGACCCTCTTCTTCAAACCTGCAGAAAGGAAAGAAATTTGAGTAGGAGCGTTATTCAACCCCAATAGTATTTTAATACCTTCTCATTTGGACAGCTATTATTCATTTTAAAGATTTTTATCTTGTTATTATTTTAACATAATAAATGAGCATGCCTGAGCTGAGGCCTAGGGAAAGAGGTAGAACTCACAAAAGGATCTGTGGAGTG